ACACCATCACTGGTCATTCTTCAATAGCAGTGAAGATAAAAGACGTCGAGAAAAATCTGTACGCTTTCGTACGAATGCTACTCACTAAGTAGTTCTTCCGTGTTGAGAGAAAGTATGACGGCCTCATGAGGGTCCTCCTTTGTCACACAATAACAGAGTTGCAAGTTCCGGTTGAAGAAGGAAGTATGCCCAACACACTTTTTTGCTTTAATGGTGTTTGTAATTAGATTTGTACTCTGACTAGTATGTCTGCTTCAAATTTTCCAACATCGCTTTTATTACGAAATATTCGAAACTAGACTAACAATGTTCTGCTCATCTTTTTCAGCTAATTGTCTTCTTTTATAGCCCCTAATATCTTCAATATATTATTAAATATTCTTTGTTTATTTGGTTTTCTATTATAGTTTTACGATATCGTCGGCAGTAAGATTTGTTGAGTGTTAATGATCCTTAATTATCGATTGCAGATAAGCATAGTATAAATGGGTTCGAGCGTCACGAAAAAGTTGTCAGGCGTCTACTACCATAGTGAACAGGGAACACAGGGTTTGTGTCTGTAGTTTCCGCATATGTTGACCAATATTCTATAAGAGATGTCCACCGATTCGAAAGGAAATAAAACAAATGACGAAGAAGCTTGTTATATGTTTGTCTAATTAGTTCTACTCAACCGTCCATGTGGTCATCTTTGTCTCTTTTTCGTTCCGTGTAATATGTTCATCCTCAATCATAGAGAAAGTGGTCCGAGCTTCCTCAAATGGATAGGTTACGAGGCAATGTACGATTTTTTTATTGAATGGTTATATTTGCTTGAAAGTGCGAATAAGGGGGACTGATTTTGTTCATTAGTTTACACGTCAGGACGACGATTTTCGCCGAGCACTTCTATGAAAAAAGTGTTCATTACCCTCCACTTATCGATTAAATTTCTTGGTAATTTCTTAACCCTAAAATTTCCGTTTTTTGTGACTTTCTGTTAATAGTATGCATTGTTATGGAAGTGGAACAAAACGTATACAACTTCAAAATGGAAGCATGTAGCGCAGTGGTTGGAGCCGCCCTTCAACACACCCAAAGTGTTGTGTTCAATCTTGCGTCCCAAATCTCTATCTATCTTTTTGAGTTCAACAGGGCTACTGATATTATCTAGGAAGAGAAAAACACTGCATTGATGGATTAGTGAGTCAATCCAGTTCATTACGTAGGCCAAGTATGAATTCGTTCACCTCTGCGATTTCCACTGGAGTCGGATAGATGTGGCATCCTTGAGCGATTTGTTAACACCGAAGCCTTCATTTTTTTGACTATTGTATTCAGAGATGTGTTTAGATTTCTTTGGGTGTTGCTAATATTCCGAAATATTCCAAATACTATTAAACAGCGCTTGTTACCTTTTAACACCAGATTATTTGTTTTTCACCGAAATTGTAAATTTAGTACAGCCGCTTCCTCATTAGCGACTTATAATACGTGAAATAATTTCCATTCTCAGTTTCAGACGTGCGAAGCAATTACGCCAAGCAATACTCTCAGTACTGGAAACAAACGCCAATTGAAAGAAGCTCGAACTTTGCCATCGAGAAGAGCGCATATGGCTACTATTATAAAAACCACTGTAAGTTTGGCATAAGTTGGAGGCAAACTTTAGGATCCGGAGACTACAAGCATTAATCGAACATCTTCACATATGCATCACTAGAAAAAAATTGGAAACAACGCCAATTTAAAGGTAGAGATAACCATATAGTAAATATAAATCACTTCAAACCAACGAAAAGTTAAAAAACCATGAAAAGCAATTCTTCTGTATAACGTAAAGATAGAGAGATCCACTACTTAAAATTGTTTAACTATAAGTGAGTTAAGGCTTGCACTTGCTTTTTTGTTGCGGAATTCCCTACAAATACCTGCTACAACCCATTCCTTAAGGGCGCGTGTGGCGCTGTGGGAGGCGCCGTGCAACACACACTTGGAATTGTTCCCCATGCCCATGGCCTGCTAAGCCCTCTATCATTCCAGGAAAGAAATTAGTACCAAACTTGTCTGATAAGATAGAAGCAGTGGGTCGACACATCGTTAAGCACCGCAAGGCATTGTAAAGGCCAGATATGCATTCAGCTACCTCCAAAAGATGCTTAATGAAGTTAAATGCGTGGTGCATCCTTCAGGGATTGATCAGCGCCGAGAGCTTTATCCTTTATCCTTTTACTCATTATTTCCTATCCTTTAAAATCATCGCTTAAAAAACTTGTCGAAATGTCACTAAAGACGAAGTTACTGAGGAAAAAGCTCTACCAACGCACTGTAATGGTAGTCGGTGTAATAGTAAAGAGGATATTTAAAAATTGAATGCATCCCCAGCTTTTGGAAGAAAGAAATTAACAGCCTTGGCTTTTATTTAACTGATAGAAATAGAAATTAAAATGAGCGTCAGATGAATAAGGGAAACGCCAGGTAAGTGAGTATTGCAGAACTAGGTTACTCGTCGTGTCTTCTTTAACAAGTACCAAATGAAATGTGATTATTCAGTTTCTCCGATGAACAACTCGACACGGAATTCGGGATTTGTCTCAGTATTTCGATAACGTGCTAACCAAACAATGATGGTTTTTTTTCAAAGTTATATTTTTCGATTTTCTTTGTCTTAGGTGGAAATGCGTTCTATTTTTGTCACTGTTTTGCTGTACAGTTTGAGTGTTTGTACAGTCTGTAAGAACTCGGCAGACTTTACGGAACAAAGCTATTACCAGTGTATTTGTAACTACAGAGGTTGGTGCTGCAAAAAGCACCATTTTTTAGTATACTATGGATGACATGAGCCTTTTTCATATAGAAGGATTTGGAGCTAAACGACAACTAGCGCTCTACGAATGGTAGAGAAATGACGACCAGAAGTGACTGCGTGCTTATCCTGAGATTCAGATTGGTCCAAAATGTACGTTCGTTCTCATGAGATAGTTTAGTATGTTGCCTTTGGCTAAAGGGTCACCAGAAATGGAAAAATGAAATGTTTTGCAAGGAAAAGCGTATCCTTCGAGCAAATGGAGACTATTCAATAGTTCACCCATATGCCAAGAACAGTTGAACAATTCCTTGGTGCCCACTCTCTCAGCAACCGCGGGGTTGTTAAACAGCATACGTTTACTTCTGTACAATAACACACATACAACACAATCGCAGCTGGCGTTTCGGTAGAATCACCTTCTTCAGAGCCTGGAAGGGTACACTAATACGCAACTCACTAGGTCAAACGCTTCAGTAACACATACAGAAAGATGAGAATCTAAATGGTAGTCACATGGTCAACACCTTCTCGAAAACTCACCGTTTTTTATGTGAAACAGAAAATTGCGTAATTTGCCCTTACGGCAGGGACGGTGATTGCATGAGTTCAGGTACGATATACCTGATCTCTTGTAATAATTGCGGAGATGAATATATTGGCGAAACGGGCAGACCTTTGTGTATTCGTATAAAAGAACCCTTAGATGGCAAGCGAAAACTAATACAAAGCATCCCACTAGGCACGTATAGGATACAAAAGCATAGCGGAGACGATTTTGATATTAAAGTCGATAACCTCGCACAGAATTCCAAAACCCCAGCGTGCAAGCTTCTTGAGGCTTTTTGGATAAATGCCAAAAACTCTACAATGAACACCAGGGAAGAATGCCCCAAGACCCCGAGATCACCAGTGATCTCGCCCCGTACATTTGTGTCGATCGTTGATGTGTGGAGGTGCAGTCGTCAACTATTTGCGACGCTGACCAGCCGCTCTTCCTCAGTGGAATGCACGTAAAACGGTGGGTTTTTCGAGAAGCCTGTGATGCTGTAATTATTATTTAGATCTTTCTGTTTGTGCTGTTAAAGTGGTTGACCTAGTAAGTTGCCTATCAGTATACCCTTCCAAGCTCTCAAGAAGGCGATTCTGGCGAAACGTCAGCAACGATTGTGTTGTATGTGTGATGTTGTTTGAAAGTAAACGTACGCTGCTTAACAACTTGCGATTGTTAAGAAAGAAAACGACTGTTGCTAGAGTTTTTTCTCACGCCGTGAAAACTGTTGGTTTGTTAGAAGAGAAAATTTGCATATGTCACTTGTAGTTTAGTCACATAAACTATAATTGACCAAATCAGCACGCAATGAGAGTTTAGGTAAGGATTTGGAAGTTGGGGAGAAAAATCATGCAATACCAAAGTCCTTATCGTTTTGTTTCACTAATAGGCTTACAGGCGTTGTTGCGAATTCCTTTTATGGATGAGGTTTCGGTGGTGTCTACCTCTTCAGAGTCGACGATTTTGGTCGAGCGTTCACAGCAATTGCTTCTCCTTGTGATGTGAGTTTTCGTAGTTCTCGTATTGAATCGAATCGAGTAAACCGATGTGCTCCACGAATGGAGCAGCTTCAACTAACATTTTCTGTCCATACAGAATGGGTGCCGTGCAGGAGTAGCCTGACCTCACTCCGCAGTTATCAAGGAGAAGAGCGGTGCTCAGTTAATCAAAATTATTTTTCTTGGTGTGAATCCATCCCGCAGTGGTTTGACAAGAATCTTTACAAGCCTTGACAATTGATCTAGCAGATGTATAACGAAAAGAAGCAAATCCCTTTAAAAAATTCTCATTCGGAGCCGTCGTTTATAGGCCGTAAGAAATTTCGCTTTAATTGCTAGGCTGAAGTTCGTTATTGCTCTCCTTCTATCACGTGTTGCCAGTACTAAAAATAAAATCACTTGACACATCTGGAATCAATTTTATTGGAGCCTCAGATTCAAATGACTGCAGGACGCCAACTTAGCTTGGCGCCGATTCTTGTGGATCTGAATGCGGTGCGCCGAACTGGGCCCCTATTCAAAAATTGCAATCCCTCATATACATATACACATACATATACATATGCATATACACATACACATACATACATATAAATTTAACACTTTTAATAAAATTCTAGGGAATAAGTGTGGAAATTTTAATGAAAATGGGCGATTTGTGTAGATGGATTCAAGATGTATCGCTGCTCGACACATAATATTGTATCCTGGACGTGATGATGCCGTGAATGGTAACCACGAATATTTCATGCAATTCTATAGTAGTGTTGGTACGCACATTAGTCTACATGTGGCAGGGTAGGCCTCTTGAGGTGGTGGGAGGATAAATTTATCCCTGAACATAACAATAATTTGAAAACGACGCAAAGCAATGATGTGACGGAAACCAATTGTAGTTCATTAGAAAGCTTTTACAACGCACTTAATCGCTTCCGTTGTTTTTTTAGTTCGCAGTCGTCAGCTTATCACTTGGAAAACATTGAAACTGCTTTAGTCAACAAACACAAAAGTGTTGCTTAAGTGTTCACAGCGATACGATAGTTCAATAGGCAACCACCTAAAAACATATGAGGTCTATGCGAAGTTTCGAGTCAACAGTGTTCTTTCCGTAGTTTGGATCATGAAAATGCACCAACGTGAAGTGGAGAAGAAATAAAACAGGAAGAACAGAGGTGAAAGCACAAGTTAATGTCAACGGTATGCAAAGTTTCCTTTTCATAAACAGTTCTTCTTAATAGCTATTATTTTATTACACAGCAAATAATTCATAGTGGAGGAAAATATTCCATGTAAAAGCACTGTCGTACACTGCATGCTCTAAGGTTGTGTTGTGTTGTCTTCTCATAGTGATAGTGATAGTTTGTACGATGGGCACACACTCTACGTTGCCGATTCATTGGTCAACACGTGTTTAGTTCTTTGAATTTGAACGAGAAAATCTTTCACTTTTTACTAAAAAGCTTTCCAGGCAGAGAAGCAGTTATGAGTATTTTCAAAGTTCTAGGATCTCCTCGAAGGAACGGCATAACGGCGAGTTCTGCAATCAATCATCAGGTGAGAAAAATGTTTTATGTAAATCTTTCCACTTCTGCTCAGCTATTTTATGTAATATCACTGTATTGCTTGGAATGCTTTCAAGTTGTGCCCACTCTTTGCCCAGGATATCATTCAATTGGGTCCACTCTCTTTGGGTCGTTTACATTTCACTGCGAAACTGCTTCGCCTTTTAAAAAAGATTATTGCATAAAGGTTTATTTTAGTTTTTCTTCTTATTTTTCTAGGGTTTGACGCTTCTTCTTATGAAAAGAATGATGATGATTTGTTTCATAAATCGAAGCACAAAGATATCACGTTTCTACAAACCAGTGGGATTTTTATGCATTTATTATTTCGTACGTTTCTTTGTGGAATCACCTGTATCACTTGCCTTTCCCTTGATTGTTTACTGGGTCAATAGGACGCCAGTACACCTTCCATTTTTCCTTGTCTGTTGCCCCTAAGAGCTCCTTGAGCATCGTAGCTTTTTTCTAGGCTTTTCGTGAAAAACAGACCATCGAGCCGGTCTTTCTGCAGTGCGATTGACATCTCGACGAATCTAGTCACTAACGGCTCTTGTCCATCGGTTATCATTCATACGCATTACGTTTCCGGCCCACCTTATTTTCGACTGTTTGGCGTACAGAACGGCATCTTTGATTTTTGATCGTTGACGCAGGTCGTAGCTTCGGAGCACCCTTGTGTGAAACGGGACACTCCTAGCGTCGTCCTTTCGACTGCACGTTGAATAACACTAGGTGATCCTTCATCCTGCTTACGCAGCCACCAGGTTCCTGACGCTGCGTTAAAACATGAAGAATCATGGTCTCAAAGAGGTTGGCGCGGAGTTGGATGATCGTCGTTTTCCTCGAAATATCCTGGGCGCTTTTTAAAGTACCAAAGCTCCACAGGCGACTCGCTTCCTCCTACTCAACTCTGGAGCTAAGTCGTTCATCGTGTTAATTTCCCGGCTTGGATAGACGTAACTGGAGCATTCGGAAATATTCATTCCGTTGAGCGTGAATGGGACATACCAAACCAATCCGTTCCTCATGAACATCGTTTTTGTGAAATCTAGCCAAAGATCAATTTTTCAGCAGGCTTTATCAAAGTCGGCAAGCATGCGTTCCGTTTGGCTAATGCCCCGTTATAAGAATGATGTTATCAACAAAACGAAGACCCTACAATTGCCACTCTTAGATTTTCACTCCCATGTTGTCCCATTCCAACGATCGCATAACGTTCTTGAGGGTGAGGGCGGATAATTTGGCCATATTCTATCGCCCTGTTTAATACCTCTTTTGACGTCGATTTTGATATAGTCGTAGAATGATGATACTTTGTTTGTGAGAATTTTATACAGGTTACGAAAAATCTTCGTATAGTAGAGAGCGACGTCCTGGTGGTCCAAGGCTTTTATGACTGCTTTTATCTTAACTGAGCAGAAAGATTTCCCCAAATCGAGGAAATTGAAGCAGAGCGGTCTTTTGTACTCTCGTGATATTTCGGCGAGCCTTGTTATTGTGTGGATGTGGTCCATCGTACTAAATCGTTTTCGAAACCCTGCTTGCTCACATGGCTGTCCTTTGTCCAGAGTTCTGTCAATCCTGTTTAGGATGACTCGAGTGAAGATTTCGTAGACGACAATCTATAGGCAGACTGGGTGATGGTTGCCGATATTTTGCTGGTCACTTTTCTTGAATAACAACGCAGTCAAGCTGGTCTTTAGTTGAATATGAGCCTTGCGTTCTAACAGGTAACGAGTGAAGAGCTAAGACAGTGTGTCGATGAGGGCCGAGGGAACGTTGTTCGGCTATTCAGGTTTTAACTTCTTCGAGACAGTTGCTTTTCGAGTCTTCACTGACGAAATAGCATACCGGATTTCGGAAGGAAGAGCCGGCAAAACGATATATCCTTCGTCATTTATTTCATATAAGGGAGGGAGGAAGTGGCCATTGAGGAGATCCGAATAGTAATCGTGAATGATTTTCTCGATTGCCTTTCTGGACACTGTAACTGTTCCGTCAGGGCGTTGGAGTGGGATCATCTTGGTCTTGTTATTGGCGAAGCTTCAATGGACTTTGCGAATTTTTTCCTAGCCTCTGCAGCTTCGACCATAGCTGCTGATCTTCACGCTTTAAGATCTCCTTTTATCGACCGTCTGCATCGTTTTACAAGTTCGGAAATGTGTGGGCGGTTGCCTGTATTTGATGCCATTTCACGCTGCGGATCAGCACGGATATTCCTGGAGACAGTCGTGTTTTCGTTTTCGTGACATTCGAACTCTCCGCTTTCATAGCGCTAACGTAAAAACATTGAATGAGCCGATCGTATTCTTCGTCGATGTTATAGAGAACGGCATCTTTCCACAGCCGAGAAACGAATTAGACAATTCCCAGCTTATGGTGGTTTTGCGAGTTCTTTCTTTGAATTTAGCGGTTTTTCCCGCTTCCCACAAACAATGAAATTTTGCGCATAAGAGGCGATGATCTGATCCGGTGTTGAATTTTAAAACAACAGCGATATCAGTAAGGCAAACCTTTTTGTTTACTATGATTTGGTCTGCTTCGTTATCGTACTATAGCAACTATTGCCAGAATAGTTACTAATCTTTCATCTTATCGCACGTTTCTGTAGTAACCATATTCGTTGTCCCTCATATCGCTTTGCAATCTTGCAGCATGTAATTGTTTTCGCTTCATTCTGAGGAACTTTGGTTGTCACAAATATCCTTTTTTACCCAAACTTTTTTATGCAATCTGAACTTCTTGTGTGTTGTTTCTGTTCCAAACTATCACTAGTGCGATAATACAAAATGCATGAAGTTGTCTGGGAAAACGTCCCCAGCCACCTGATCTGATCATGTGGGAGTTGGATGCGGAAGTCGACGAATGTTTTCGTTAAAAGTTGTAGATCTGTGCCAGAACACCGCCTTCTCCAGAAGACGTTTAAATAGCCGCGTGAGTTAGTATCGCATTCGCCCTCCTGTTCATCACGTGTGATACGTCATGTATCATCTAATCTAAGATGTTAACTCTTAATATAAGTGGTCACCATTGTATATTAACTTTGTTGTCATGCATTCTGTATGCACATCGCACTGTTTCAATAGCCTGTAGCAACGATTAACCAGCCTCGCTCTCAGTTATTGATCATGATACCATATTGCAGCCTATATGTTAACCGATGTTAACATATTGTTATTCATGAATTATTATTATTGTTATAAGCAGTTTAATTACTAGCGTTTGAGATATTGCTCTACGACAACTACGGAAAAGACCTGCGTGGCAACTTTCTATGAAGTCGAGCATTCAACTCAAATCTAGTAATCATAATGTGCCAAAACTGACTTGAAAACCTATTTTCCACTGGCTGACTACGACAGGTACTCCCGATTGGAAGATTCCCATGTCCAGCTTTGAGAGTGGCCTCCCGGAATGGCGACTTAGCATGAGTGTTCTTGACCGTCGTGATAAACTCAAACTCACCCTGCTCGTTCCATTCTAATTTGTGAATCGCAGTGTGATGTATACCAGATATTCTTGACGGTCCAATTCAAGCATAGAAATTTTCCATAGTAATCTTAAAGGATGCAAAACTTCTTCTACCCCGTACAGAACGCTTCAACTTTGTCGTCGTCATAGCTTTAGATGTGTGTGAACAAACTCGTGTTGACGAAAACGACGACGCCGCCATCTCCTCTACTGTCTCATGTTCCGAGGTACAGTTCTTCTCCAGTGTCATAAACGGCGCTGAAAGCCTGGCGCCTTCTCATCTTATCCAGGCCGATGACGTCGTACTTTATCCTTCTCGCTTGCATGAGCAAGTCTTCTATCGAAGACTCGGATGCAAGTGTACGTATCTTGTAGCTACAGATCGTTACCTTAGTTCTTTGCAACCCAGGCAGCTTCCATTCGCCCTGGGATTTTAGCAGCCCTCTCCGTACTCGTCCTACCCAACGCTGTCGAAAGGAAGCTCTTTCGTGATCAGCGGAATGAGACCCGTTTCTTTTACTGTTTTTAGCTTTTTGGTACCCACGTATAGCTTGCTGGGCTCTGAACGTGGAGGTTGGGCATACTCACGGGTGGCTTGCCAGGCTCTTCCATAGTGGACACGAAGCTTATTTGTTGTTAGCGATGCTAGCCGCCTTCCATATACTTCCCTGTAACTTGTTAGCAGGCATTTGGGCCGAATTGACTCGTAGAATGCAATCTGCATAAACGAGAACGCACCCACACACGCATACATGAATACGCCTCGTAAATACAGAGTTTGTGCTGAATCGGCGCAGCAGAAACAGAGAGTTAATCCCTTGGATCCGCCTGCGTCCTAGGGGAGCAAAAGTCGCTTTTGGTCCGCGATAAACCCCCCCTCCGCCACCCGGGGACGCGCCGCGGAGCCTCGCGACTAACGAGCTATCGCGATTCCTCATACGATGGAGATCTGTGATATACACATATACCTATATAAGTAAATAAGTAAATATATATATATAAATAAACACGTATGTGTATATATGCTTATAAGCAAGAGTGTATGTGTACATTTACACATATATATATACATATATGCATATATATATATATATATTCAGTTCTGTTCGTTTTACAACTTTCTTTATCAAAAAAACTTTGTATAAGGTGTATAATCATTGAAATAAGGGTCAGTTGCCAACTATGTTTCATTGTCTGAAAAATAGCTTCAGATTGTGAATTCCTTTGCTACCAAGAATACTGACCAAGTGTTTTACAAGAAAGATAGTAATCTTATGAATGCTGGGTCCTTCAATTACTGTTTATAGTAGTTTTTACTATTCTTTGTGAAAATAGTCGTGTTATCTGAAAAACTTCTTGCTTTTGAGCCGTGATCTTTTTCTTTTCAGGCTTCCACGATGCAGCTCGCCGAGGAGCTTAGGCGAATCTGCCATGAAAGTTATTTATGGACAGCAACACATATTGGACCAGAAATGTTTTATTTTAGAGAAGATGATGAAGCAACTAGCAAGTGAGTAGCGAATAAAACACACGTCACACTTTTTTCCTTCTTTCCTTTTTTTTTGTTTTTTCTTAAATCAAGCTTTCAACTTGAAACGCTACCTAGAACTGAAATTTTGAAAGCGCTAACACTGAACTTTTTTTTTGATTATATTTACACTGACATGATAAATACTCCACTTATTCACTCATGTCTTCCATTATAAACTTTAGCACTTTTAGCCTAGGTGGTCTCCGTTCGTGATCGATTGCTTATTACTAGAATGACTGACCACCTCTGGCATAACTCTGAGCCTACAACTTGGCGTTTTCTAAAGCTTCACGAGCAGTAAATGTGAACGAGCAAGATCATAATGGCACTAAAGGTACGGCTAAAACGATTACATCCTAAGACCGAAAGTTATCGAAAGCTATTTTTATCTACAGAGATTGACTGGTAGAGAGGTAACTAATTCGATAATCCGTTGTTTAACATCTATATACACTTACATAAACACATATATATATATATAATTAAACTGTTAACATTTTCCACAGAATTCGATTCGATGCGACAAGGACCAGATGTGGACCATCGACTGTGGCTCTGGCGAATGGAAAGGCGCCGAAACGTTAACCAAGTAAAAGTTCTTACACTAGCCTCATGTCAGCTCATCCATGTAGAAAACTACTATTTTTTTTGTAACTGTGGTTTAATGAAAGTTGGTTTTGAAACAACACACGCTCGTTTCTTTCCATTCTGAGGTAAAAAACTGACCCCTCCATCAGTCATCAGTCGTTCAGCCGTCAAATTGGTACCAGTGAATGTGACACACTTATTTCGACTAAAAATTGTGAGCAATTATCTGTATTTGATACTCGAGAACGCTGTATTAGTAGACTTAACTTAGGAATAATGAAGCCATCATTTATTATATGACACTTAGATGGAGAAAGCATTCTACGACAAACCATGGTGGTTTCTCAATGCAGCACTTGAGGCATGCGTTAAGGAAATAAAGCAGAAGTGTTTTAGCACCTGAGCAATGTTTCGCGAAATTGACCGTGAGTAGCAAATATTTTATACAAGCATTAAATAACTATAACCGTCATTATGAAATTAGTTGCTTTCGGAATAGAGATAAAACAAACATAGAATTGAACTACTTCAAGATATGGTGAACAAAATTTCAAGACAGTGTCTTTTAGGCATGAATGAGCAGTGATTGATCGGTTTCTATGTTTTGTACAGACACTCGCCTTTTCAGGCTGCTCAATATGGCATTTTAATCAGTTGGTTTGAGATAGATTGAGCAGAAACGGCAGTGAACAGAGGAATATTGTTGTCGAGTCGTGGATCGACGTTGGAATTCTAGACTATTTAGTTTTTGGATTATTCGTCGCACTAAAACTGCTAGCAAATTGTACAGGCTTTTCAGATTTCGAGAACGATGAAAAGAACTGTGATGGGCGACGATTTTCACGCGAACTCCAGGCATCTGTAATAAGAAGCATACGCAGAAATAATGATACGGTAATGGTATCATGAAAAAATCTTAGTCGACACTTCTTGGCACCCTTGTGAGAGATTGATAAATGCTTTTAAAAATTTGACTAAAATGGTTTAAAATTCAGCAGCAGAGATATCTCAACCAAATATAAAATCTCTTGTAAGCTGCAAAAAATTCGTGTGACGTATAAAATTTAGAATATGAGCTGATCACCTGAATATACTGCAGTTTATCACTATGTACCTACGAATCTCTATATAATATTCTGTATCGGTTGTAATCACGATGGCCATTTATTGACGATATTGTGTGGATTTCGATTGAGAGATACGAGGAGCGTCTAATATGTTGAAGCTGTTTTTGAGTGGAAAGTGCTAACGGATGCCTTACTTGGCCTTAATGTAAAGGTGCATCTATTGTGGTTGTACTATGCTTAATATCTTGCCTTAAAAAGTGCAGTAGAAAAAAAATAAAAGGTAAAATAATGTGATTTTAACTACAGCCTCAGCTTAACTGGGTTTAATGCCGATGTGGGCCCCCGATCAATCCGGTTGACGGGTGATTGCTGAAGGCACTGATCGAAAGAACTAGCTGAGACAGGCGGAACGAAGGACCTGCATAGTGTGGTGGTGAACGCTTTACTCCCCGGAAAGGACAATAGCGCGTTCGTTTCCTACCGCAATCAACTGCGGTCCGAAGTTTTGCAAATATCTCTGCAGCGTTGCAGTTGTATTTCCGTTAATACCCTGCCATAGGGGATCTGCAAGATCTATGTATGAGACAATCTCTACATATGTAAACGCACCACTTAGGACAGATGCTCGCATCTTTCTGAGTCTAACTTAACTCTCCACTCACGCATGTAGGTAGCTTTGCGACTAGGCCGCTCGAAATGTCTCGGGTAAAAAAAATGATCTGTAGGGAATAATAGTACAAAGTCTGGATCATACGTACAAATTGCATTAATAAACTCACTACGTTAAATTTTAAGCGTTTCTTTTATCAGCGATTATTCTAAAAGCAACTGCAACAAACTCACATATAGCACTCGTTGAGAACTTGTTTGGTTGAATGGTGAATGTGTTCGACAGTATCTTTTGTGACGGGCTTCGCCAGTACTCAGAATACTCCTTGGAAAAGTGGTCGCCTATTTCTAAACAACGTTTTTATACATTTTATACAATTACATAAAGATCTTTCGAGTTTGTCCCTCCTCATAAGTGCAATTGAAAATATTAATGATTTATGTTTCTTCAAATTATATTCAACTTAATGTCTACTTTGTTACAATTTACTCTGCATAGATGCCTGTATTTTTTCTAAATATGTTTTTGCAGGTAATAATAAGAGTACTCTCGTATTTCTTCTTATATTGAATCTCGTAACAGTATTAGTTATCTTGTGCCTCATCCCATGCCATGCAAAGCCAGGAGATAAAGTATTGTTAAGATGCTTTCATTTATTATCAGTGCCAGATTATTGGCGAAATAATTATGACCACGAAGAAAAATGACAAGAACTTGCTGGAAAAGTCGAAAATCCAAAAATAAATAAAACTCATAGGTGGCTGCATGGGGATATTTTGTCACACTCGTATATTATTCGTAAATTGACAACAGGTTTTTTCAATACAATATAACTCACAAGATCGACTTTCTATAAAGCTCGGCATATATAGTTGATATATTTATATGGTCTTATAAACCGATGTTGTTGAGCCGATGCGAGGTTGGTATAAGTTTTCGCTGTCGTTGTTGTTGTTGTCGTCGTCGTTGTCGTTGTTATTGGCATTGTTGGTCGATGGCCGACGTTTCGGCGATTTCTTTAACACTCTGAGAAATTCGGTCGCTAACGGCTTCTGCGATCAGTTGTACTTCGATTTTTGAGAAACCAATTAATAACCTTGCCATTGACTAATAAATTGCTGCAACTCTGATCAGTTGATACGAAGATATTAATTAGCATTTTTTTAATGATAGATAACGTTCCGCCAAAGTTCTCTGCATTGAGAATGATTATCTTAACATGTTTTTCTTATTTTTGTTTATCACATAGCATGGTTGGATTACCCAAGTTTTACTAAGAAGACCGAGCGAAGGATTAGTCGTCGAAGGATTCGTTGCCGAAAACACGCCTTCCTCTGATCTACATTGTAGTAAAGACCTGTATACACCCTTGCATGGTTAAGTTAAGAGTCCAGGGAGGACCAAGTTGCACGACCAACAATAAGCCAGCCTCAGTACTCCGCACACTGGGTACTCCCGTCTATGACGTCAGGCAGTGAAACGACCGGTGAAAGGCCAGAAAATCTCGGCTTACGCAGGATACCATTGGAACAGGATCTGACGAACACACGCACGATACGCCATGGAGATTGTTTCTTACTATGCACATACAATACCAAAACACCCTCCACAGACGCCGATCCTTACGCCTTTTTAGTAGCCGCAGATCGCATTAAATTTTATGTGATCGCATTACAAAAAACAAAAATCGAAAAAATCGACATATGCTAAGTAAACAGCGGAACCCTTGTGACCCGTGGAGAAAAGGTCCCGTCACGAAATGTCAGTGCCGCAGGCTTTTTCGTCCACCCGTCCATTGTCCATCTCGTCGACTCATACGTGATCCTTTCCCCTCGCACAACCGTTCTCCGTTATCAACTGTCGCATCATAAAAAGATCACTATCATCAACTGCTACTCACCGGCCGACGCAGCTGATGAGTACATATTAAATGCGTTCTACTATCCGTAAGAGGAAGTCATCCGCAATGAAAAAACAAATCAAATTTGTAGTTGGAAACTTTAACGCCAAAATAGGAAAGGCCAATGAGAGCGAATACAGGATTGGAAATTTTGGATTAGGAGAAAGAAATAAGAATGGCAACCGTCTCGCAAGACTCTTGTCAGCAGCATGTCTCTTCCATGGAAACTCGTTCTTTCAGAAAAAAGAAAGCCTCCGCTGGACATGCGAGTTTTCCAACGGCATGACTCATGCGGAGATCGACAATATACTGACAAATAGAAGATGGTGCCTACTTGACACATCGATAGTCCTATCATTCTATACTGGTTCCGTATCTTTTTTCTATATTTCTATATTCTATATCTTCGTAACTATCGTCCCATATGCTTATTAAGTGTACTCTACAAGCTATTCACGAAGATTATCCTCTCGCGCATATTAACGAAATTGGATAAGACATAACCAGTCGATCAAGCAGGATTTCGAAAAGGATTTTGCTGCATACACCACATCCAAACCGCGTTCAGGGTCATCGAAATATGTCGGAAATACCACTTGCCTCTAGTGCTGACCTTTGTAGGCTATGAGAAAGCGTTTGACAGTGTCGAAACAAATGCAATCCTATCATTGCTCGCCGAACAAGGAGTAGATCCCTCCTACATAAGGACTCTGACCGACTGTTATCGGAAATGTACTACGAAAATACAGCTTTTCCATCGATCTCTTGCAATACCCATACGAAAAGGGGTTCGACAGTGCGACACAATATCACCAAAGCTGTTCAGTGCCGCACTGCAGTGGATAATGAAGTCACTCGATTGGTATGAGAAACGCATACGTAATGATGAAAAATTCCTATCAAACCGTTTTGCCGACGATATTATCATCTTCTCAAAACGTAATAGCAAAGCAGAAGTGATGATCAGCATGCTGGACGAGACGGGGAAAAAGGTCGGACTTCGCATAAAT